GAGTGTTAATTAAAAGTCAGGCCACAGTATTTTAGACCAGTTAAAGATGGGAACAAGAGCAGTGAGAGATTTTACAGCCTTTTGGTGCCACTGACCCAACTCTGAGAAATTTTGAACTTAAATATTTTTTGCCAAAAATTGTACAATTTCATAGTTTACACGTTTGATTTGTTTACTGTCTTCCACTGTGAATAAAATATGGGTTCATAAAATCTGGAAAGCATTGCTTTCTTTTTGTATTTAGCTTTTACTCCATGTCTCAAGTCTTTCTTGGAATTGGTATATTACTCATTCCTTTGATTTTCTTTAACTTGTGTTCATCCTGATGAGTGTGTTTTCTCTGGACCACAGAGTGAAGAACGATACAGAGAGTTTGCCATGGGCTTGGCCAGCGTAGGAGACAGTCTGGGCATTGCTTTGGCTGGAATTGTTGCTATTCCTGTCCACAAATACTTCTGCTCCTTGTGAGAACGTCCACAGTCCGAGCAGCAGGACGAAGACATGGCAGGAACACGTCCACGTTTGTTCATCGTGGATGTGACCATATCTAATTCTACTTTTATATTAATGATTTTGTGTAAAGTATTTGATATATTAGTATGACAGTAATTATTAATGAAAATATTTTTTTACTTTTAACCTTTAACAATTGTTGATAACAATTAACAACTGGACCAAACTCAGAATTTCAACATGTTGTCAACTTTTTATTTACTTTTGGAAAAAAGTAACGTATAGTACTTACAATGAAACGGGTTGTCCTCTGACTAACACTGTTGTGGACTTTTTGAAAGTTTTTAAAAATCTTCTAAATATACAGTGTTTAGTGTCTTTCTTAAAACAGTTGTTACAGGTGTGTAATTTATATGCTTATAAACAGAACGTTATGATTTTATATGTGCTTGCAGCCTGTTCATGGCGTCTCAGCCTCTCACAGTGACTGGCACCAGCTTCCCACGACCCATAAAGGAGAAGTGGCTAAAGATAATGGATGGATTTTATGTTGTTTAACCTTGTGATTGTGTGATTGGAATTTTTTACATAAATAAAGAACGAGTTTTTGATATTCCTGGGCTCATGTGTTGGATTTTCAAATCATTTCAGTTTATCCCTCATTAGTCTCTATAGAAGTGTGGATTCAGATTGTTTTTGTGGAGATGTAAGTGTAAAGGATGGCACAGTTGGTTTGTAAAGGGTTGGCTAGAAAGATGCAGTTCACTTGCGTGCAGCTGGGGAGAGCCGTCTCGGACACTCGGACTGTAAGCACAGGATCTCCACAGGGCTGTGTGCTTTCCCCCCTGCTTTTCTCTCTGTACACCAACTGCTGCACCTCCAGCCATGACTCTGTGAAACTTATTAAGTTTGCAGATGACACCACCCTCATCGGGCTCATCTCGGACGGTGATGAGTCTGCATACAGGAGGGAGGTGGACCGGCTGGTGACCTGGTGCAGCAGCAACAACCTGGAACTCAATGCCCAGAAGACAGTGGAGATGATTGTGGATTTCAGGAAAGCCACAGCCCCTCTGCCCCCCCTCACCTGTAATGATACCCCCATCACCACTGCAAACTCTTATCGGTTCCTCGGCACCACCATCACCCAGGACCTCAAGTGGGAGCCGACCATCAGCTCCCCTCATCAAGAAGGCCCAGCAGAGACTGTACTTCCTGCGACAGCTGAAGAAGGCCAAGCTGCCGGCCAAGCTGATGGTGCAGTTCTACACGGCCATCATCAAGTCCATCCTCAGCTCCTCCATCACGGTGTGGTACGCCGGGACCACTGCCAGGGACAGACTCAGACTGCAGCGCGTTGTGCGCTCAGCTGAGAAGGTGATCGGCTGCAGCCTTCCATCCCTCCACGACTTGTGCATCTCCAGGACTGTGAGGCGAGCAGGTCGGATCACAGCTGACCCTGCTCACCCTGCACACGGTCTGTTCGAACCACTTCCCTCAGGCAGGAGGCTTCGGTCCATTCGGACCAGAACCTCCCGCCATAAGAACAGTTTCTTCCCCTCTGCTGTTGGACTCCTGAACACTCATAATGTTACCTCATAATTTCTGCTTTGGTCACATTACATCTGTATTATAACTGAATACTCCATCTGTACTGTTTTATAAGCTTTTTTATTGTTTTCTATTGAATGGGTGTACACATGTTTATGTTATGTTTTTAATTTTACTTTATTTGTGGGTGTACACAGGTCTTATGTCTTATGTAATGTTCTCATTTTTACTTCATTTTTACTTTATTTTACTTTATTACTATTCGCACCTTATGTCGAAGCAAATTCCTAGTTTGTGAACCTCGTTCATTGACATGGCGATAATAAACTGATTCTGACTTGTTTCTTTTCCAAGTACAGAGGACAGTCGCATTAATGGACAAAAAAAGATAATCTGCGTGTCATAGAAAGTACAGTTAGGTAAATAAATTCTTTGCTCAGTTGTCAATGATGACCTGTCTCTTGTAGCTATTATTTCTTTGTATTTCAAACAAATATTTTGAACTTAAAAATGATGTGAACTCTTGACAAATTTTTATAAAATTAAAGTTTTTTTTTCCATTTAAACATCTGAAGTTTTGCTTTTGAAGCCTAACGTTCTAAAGTAAAATTGAGTAATCCAACAGTGTTCAGTCATGTCATCTGGACAGTTCCTTTTTTTTGTTGAGAGACGTTTCGCCCTCCATCCGAAGGGCTTCATCAGTCTGAGAAGTCCCAAACAAACTGTTTTCCCCACTAAGCAGTACACTCCTGCAGTGGACCAACCAGTTTGCTGGTGATAAGATGGTTTCTGGGGGCTGTCCTCTCCCCCGTCGATTCCTTACTAACGTTTATTAACTTGTTTTTAAGCATTAATTGACTAAAATAACCTAATAACCGACCGCATGCTCAATAATCCAGGTAGATAAATCTAACAAGGTTGAGTCAGGTCCTCTGGACAGATTCTTTCAACCTTTATTTATACAGGCTAGCCTCATTGAGCCACAGGACTCATTTGCAAGAGGGACCTGTTCCATACAGAACACACATACAACAAAGCAGTAGACAATGATTACAATAAACTACAGTAAAAATGCAGTTAAAATAAGAGTAGAGTACAAAACAACAAATCAGGGTGTCGTAAAACTAGGGCTGAGTACTGAACTTCGGTTCTTTTATGGTACCGACTGAACTGCTTCGGTCATTGCATGTATCAAAATATGCCTCTTCTTTCAGTGTCAAGTTTTGGTGATTGGCTGTAATGTGACACGTGGTTGCAACCACATGTAAAGTTGCTCCATGTTTGACTGGTGTTGAAACATTTCGTCTTTTATCCAAAAGACTTCTTCAGCCTGAGGAGGTGCAACAAACTCAGACATAAGTAGCACCTTCTCATAGTGGATCAACCTGTTTGCTGCTAACAGCCAAAACCAGTTGCTCACTCACATGATCAAGGAGGACCATCAGCCTAACAATTAATCGCTGGTGCCCTGATGGCCATTTGCTATTCACAGGGGGCTGAGTGATACTCATGACTGTCATCAGTTCTACTTCAGGCAAACAGCCGCTGGACAACAACATGGCCATCCTCCCACAAGAGGATTTAGCAAGAATGGTTTGAGAGAGGAGTGAAGGAAGCCATCGTTGTGAAGAGAACTCGTCCATCATTAAACGGGCAGAGGCCTCCGTGTTCAACTGTCCCCCTCTTACAGTGCTGTTATTGCTAGTATCAGCCCCCTGTGAATAGAAAGCGGCCATCGGGGCACTAACGATCAATTGTCAGGCTGATGGTCCTCCTTTGTACACATGAACAACTAGTTTTTGCTGTCAGCAGCAAAATGGTTGAGCCATTATATGAAGGTGCTGTTTATGTCTAAGTTTGTTGCACCTCTTCAGACTGAATAAGTTTTTTGGATAACAACAAAGTCCATGCTCAATAATCCAGGTATACAATCCAACATTTTTCTATCAGGTCATCTGGACAGTTTCTTTTTTTGTGTGTGCTGAAACGTTTCGCCTTTGGTCCAGAAGGCTTCATCAGTCAAGGAAACGCACAACAAAACTGATTCTTCCCCCAACAGCTTACTCCAAAGTGGAACAAACCAGTTTTGCTTGTGTGAAGAGGGCCGGCAATGGAGGAGGGGGCGTACGTTATGTTTAGAAAATAAACGTCTCCGTTTCTCTGATACTCCCTCAACATACGGAATGACCACTGGTCTGGGTTCCTCCTTTTCACCTGATGGCTGACTGGAGTCCTGTTTGGGTTTCTTCTCTGCTTTCAGGAAGGCCCAGTTAGGATATCCACATTGCTCTAGAGCCTGTTTTGTGTGGGATTTCTCCTTCTGCCTGGCTCCTGTACATGGAGGAGGTAGAAAAGAGAGCCTTGACGTCCTTTTCAGGGACACCACCAAGTCATTGGTTCAGTTTATGTTGACGACACCTGGGTTAAAATCAAATCTCAGGAAGTCCAACATTTTACTGACCACATCAACTCTGTGGATAAATACATCAAGTTCACATGAGAAGATGTAAAAAAAATGGCAGGTTGGCTTTCTTGGACTGTGAGGTCTCAGTCTCTGATAGAGGACATTTGCAAACCGAGGTGTACCGCAAACCCACCCACACAGACCAGTATTTGCAGTTTGACTCCCATCACCCTTTGGAGCACAAGTTAGGAGTCATCAGGACACTGTATCACAGAGCAGACAGCGTCCCCACTAACTCAGGAGCCTCTTACAATGCTGTTATTGTTGCTAGTATCACTCAGCCTCCTGTGAATAGTAAACAGCCATCAGTGTGCTAATGATGAAGAATCCATCCAGAGGACCTAACCTAAAATATCTACTCGGTCGTCTCAAACAACAGAACGTGACTTCCGCCCATATAGTTGTTTATATGGCATAGCTCCATGTATTTCAGTGAGGATTTTTTTTAAATATTTTGGTGGTGTGCCAGGATGTGACGCAAGACTTGACGGAAGGCGGGGCGATGCGCGTCCCCCGCGCCGGAAGTGACTTCAGAGTCCACCGTGTAGCTGGACTGAACCGGTAGAGGCGCCAGGGGCCAAACCGAGAAGCCGGTGAGCGAAAGAACCAACAATCTACCGGATAAAACGTTGATGATTGTTTGTCACGCTCCTGCGAACACGGTAATTTCACATGTTTCGTTTGTTTAGAAGTAACATTCTTTGGCTTGACAGTCTTGCTAACGTTAGCTAGCAGGCTAACAAAATTAGCATAGCGGAGCTAAGCAGCTTTTCGCCGCGACTGAATTAACGGCGGCAGAGCTAAAGCTACCAACCTACAGCACTGTGCCTGCTAACTTAAGTGTAGTGTAGGAGTTTACAAGGCTGCCATGTGTATAGGTGTTTGGAATGAACTGGGCATATTAGTCTGGCTCTAAATAAATGAATTTAACCACAAAGATTGACCGAGTGAGTTGGTATGCTACTAGTTAGCTTACGTTAATCTACGCCCATAGGCCTCAACTCTGACAAAAACGTCATTCTATGTAGTTCGCTGTTTCCTCATATTAAAATATCGCCACGATAAGTACGGAAATCATATTGTCGGCTTCGGTTTGTCACATTAAACCTAACACGATGTGTAGCTACGTAATTTAGTTGTGTTGAATTTATTTTTTCTTCACAGAGACACTTTCTTCTAAACATTTAAACTTGTTGAAGTTGAAGGATCCTGTCTACAGCTTGTGGCTGTTAGCTCCGGTGTTTGGGAGAAAGGAGCAACAAAGCCAGTGACTGCTGCAGAGGTTTAAACTCTCTGAGCAGATCTTTGCATGTGTGTGACCATGGGGGACATCAGTGACCTGGACAGACAGATAGAGCAGCTCAGACGCTGTGAGCTCATCAAGGAAAATGAAGTCAAAGCACTGTGTGCCAAAGCCAGGTAATCCATCATTTCACCTTTGTCCTACCACTGAAAACACGATTCTTCATTACAGTTTCATCTTATATTGTATGATTAATCTAGTTTCTGTTATTTTTTGTCCTTTATATTTTGTTTGTAGCAATAATAATGTTGCTTATTACAAATAACGGTAGTTATAAATAGTTATGTATGCATGATATAAAGTCAAAAGAAACATTACTCTGTGGATTTTGCATGTTTTGTGTGTGTTTTTGTAAGTTTTCTCTATAGACTGTATATATTGTAGAAGAAGTGTTTATATTGTTAGTGTCAATGGGATTTGTTTTATAGTAGCTGTCATAGTGTGTTTTTGGAACCAGAGTTGGCTCACTAGGGGTGTAGGGTTTTAGGTCCCGCCTACTCCTCCGCACACAATCATCACTTTGTTTGTTGTGAAATTACTAATTACAGCTAAATGTATTTAGATTAAATGCTTGAAAAAAATATCTGACATGTGATTGAAAAACAAACAGATAAGATTAATAGACTCCGAAAGTCAAAGTTTCTTTATTGTCATTCTCCTCACTTGGTACATGTAATGGAACACAATTGTGTACACAGGGTCCCAGTTACATCCAACAAAATATAAATTGTAAAGAAAAACAGTAAAAAGATCTAAGAAATACAATAAACCAAGAATATGTTAAACAGTAGTAGTACACAGACAATATGCCAAATAGCAGCAGATGAGTATGAATGAACACAGTAACATGAAATAAATCAGCAGCATGGATAATCAGCAGCACATATCAACAATCAAGTGGCATTACTGGGATTTTTTTGAAGGCTGCACAGGAGTCTGTTGGAGTCAGCCTCCCCACCATCACAGACATCTACACCTCTAGATGCAATAAGAAGGCCCCCTGCATCATGAAGGACCCCACTCACCCAGCACACTCACTTTTTGTCCCTCTCAGGTAGGAGGTTGAGGAGCATTAAATATAGAACCAGTTGACTGAGGAACATTTTCTACCCTGAACCTGTTCGACTCATGAATCCCTACTCAGAATTATCACTGTGAAACAAATCACTGTAATGCCACTTGATTGTTGACATGTGCTGCTGACTGTCCATGTTGCTGATCTCATGCTGCTGATTTATTTCATGCTGCTGTGTTCATCCGTACTCATCTGCTCACACAGACTCATGTTTGTGCTGCTGTTGTTCAGCATATTGTTTTTGTACTGTTAATGCTTAGTGTATTCTTGGTTTAGTGCATTTCTTAATTCATATCTTGGATCTTATTACTGTTTTTCTTTACAATTTATACTTTTGTTGGATGTAACTGGGACCCTGCAGTGTTTCCCCTAAATAACTTGCCATGGCGGGGCGCTCATCTCGTCTGTGATTTTTGTTCGGGGGGGGTGGGGTGGGGATTCGCTCTAAGCTGCGCAGCGCACTGTTTAAACCAACAGTTTTAGAGGGGGGGGGTGCGGGACACCAAGGCAGCCGCGTGCTGTTTGCACTGACAGTTTTAGAGCAGGGCGTGTGAGAGGAGAGACAGAGATACATCTCAGCTGCGCACTGTCTGAACAGACAGTTTATTTGTTTTGTTTTTGGCGGGGGGAGAGACAGATGCATATCTGAGCCGTGCGCTGTTTGTACCGACAGTTTTCGAGTGGCGGGGGTGCGTTTAGCGTGAGGGTTCAACATGAAGGAAGAAGCTGCCTTTAGCTTTTTACCTAGTGCACCTGCATTATGAGCTGCTAGTTTAGTGTTACGTCAGTTCCGATGGGGGGTGGGGTTCGGTAGGCGGGGCGCCCCACTTGTATAATGGTAGGGGAAACACTGCACTGTGTACATAATTTCGTTCCACCACATGTACCATATGCGATGCGACTGACAAAGAAATTGTAATTTTGATTGTCCTGGTTAGAGATTCATGAGTCTTAACAACTTCAGAAGCTGTTCCTCAATCTGGTTAAGTCACATTTATTTATATAGCACGTTTAAAACAGTAACTGTTATCAAAGTGCTTACCAAAAAAGATCACAGCATCAAATATTAATAACAAGATATCACAGCAACATGAATAAAAGCATAAAAAATGAAATATAATGAGAAACGATGAAATACTAAATCAAATCACCCTGCGTTAAATGTCAGGGAGTAAAAGCAAAATGGAGGAACACAATCATCAACAACGAAATACCAAATGAGATCACACTGTGTTAAATGCCAATGAGTACAGATGTGTTTTGAGGAGAGATTTAAAAATAGAGACTGAGGTGGCCTGTCCAATGTTGATGGGCAGATTATTCCAGAGTTTAGGGCCCATGACTGAAAACGCTCGATCTCCTCTGAGCTTCAGCTGGTTTTTGGTACGGCCAAAAGCAGCTGGTCTGATGATCTTGTTAAGATATTTTTGGACTGGTCCTATGGTTTGGATCTGCTCAGAACCGGGTCGTAGTTTCATTATAATCTCGTCTCTGAGCAGATCCAAACCATAGGACCAGTCCAAAAATATCTTAACAATCACTAGGCGAGAAGGAGTATAAGGATGAAGGAGGTCAGAGAGGTATGAGGGTGCAAGGCCATTAACACACAAATGTCAGCAGAAGAATCTTAAAATCAACTCTGACACGCACAGGAAGCCAGTGAAGGGACGACACAACTGGAGTAATGTGCTCAAACCTGCGAGTTCCTGTTAGTAGCTGAGCTGCAGCATTTTGGACGAGCTGGAGACGTGAGAGAGACCTGACTGACCCCAGCATAAAGCGAGTTACAGTAGTCCAGCCGGGTTGTAATAAATGCATGGACTCATTTTTCTAGGTCAGATCTGGACAGCACGGACTTGAGCTTAGCTATCTGCCTTAGATGAATGAAGCTTTTTTTGAAGAACAGAATTTATCTGCTTATTAAACTTAAAGTCCGAGTCTAAAACTATCCCAAGATTCATCCAACAAAGTTCAATCTGGTCCTCTGGACATGTTCAAAAAAACAAAACAACAAAAAAATGTAGAAACGTTTCGTCTCTCATCCGAGAGACTTCCTCAGTCTGAGGTGCTGTTTTCAGCTCAGTCTCTTAAATGGCACCTTCTCAGAGTGGATCAACCACTAAACAGGGGAAACTAAACAGCCACTGGCCAAAAGGATGGCCCAGCACAGAAGAGCAACATCATCAGGCCAGGACTCTGCGGTCTACACTCATCTCCAGGCCAGCGGTCACTCTTTCAGGGATGAAGATGTTCACATCCTGGACAGAGAGGAACGATGGTTTGAGAGAGGAGTAAAGGAGGCCATCTTTGTGAAAAGAAATCGTCCATCATTAAACAGGGTGGAGGCCTACGTGTTCAACTGTCCCCCTCTTACAATGCTGTGATTGCTAGTATCACTCAGCCCTCTGTGAACAGTAAACAGCCATCAGTGTGCTAATGATCCATTGTTAGGCTGATGGTCCTTCTTGAGCATGTGATCAGCTGGTTTTGGTTGTCAGCAGCAAAACTGGTTGATCCACTCTGAGAAGGTGCTATTTAAGAGACTGAGCTGAATACAGCACCTCAGACCGAGGAAGTCTCTCGGATGAGAGACGAAACGTTTCTACATTTTTTTGTTGTTTTGTTTTTTTGAACATGTCCAGAGGACCAGATTGAACTTTTTTGGATTTTTCTACCTGGATTATGGAGCATGCATCAGGATATCCCGAGATTGGTAACAGACTGTTTTAGATATGGCTGAAGGGAGTCCAGGTTTGCAGGATCCGTGGCAGAGCTAGGGTTAAACACAATGACCTCTGTCTTCTGATCATTAAAACTCAAAAAGTTTGCAGCCTTCCACGTCTTGATGTCATCAAGACATTGTAACAAAGTGTGAATGGAGGAGGAACTGTTGGCTGTTAACAGCAGATAATGTTGACTGCTTTAAATAAGAACCTTTCCCTGTGATTTGAGTTGAAGCAGTTACAGATGGATGAGGAAATAAATAATGTGAAGTTGAGTAGTTTACTCCCTTGAGATTACTTCCTGAGACGACTTCTGTTGTGATTTAGTGCTGTATAAACTGAATTGAGACTGTTGAGTGCTTAAACATCTGAAGAAGAAACGATGAAATGAGTTTTTGTCTATTTTAGAAATCTACATCGGAGCAGATAAAGACATCATTGTAAATGTCATAGGGCTGGATTATTTTAACCATAAAATAAATATTTTATCAATAATATATCAAATTAGAGAGCTTGTATTTGCTTTTAAAGATACAATGTGGAATTTGGACACTTCACAAAGAGTAAAGTCAAAATGAAAATACCGGTATTCTGATAAAGTATTATCTAATGTGTAGGGGTGCACCAATAAATCGTCCCCGATTTCCTTAAGTTTTGGGAAATTGGACGATACTTGCATGAGAAGCCGATTTTACCCAAAAAAAAAAATTTGTTTGTTTTAACAACAATTGTCTGAACTTCATTTATATTTCAGAGCATGGCCAGTTAAAACAAGTTTGTATTATTTCTAGGATATTGTTCAATAGTTTTTTTCAATAAAACAATATTGTAAAATTGAAAGTGCATTGTGACCTTAAACACCTGAAGTGTCGCTTATAAAACAAAATTGGAATCGTCAGGTCAGACTTTTTAGAAATCTGTGATTGGCCAGAAAACTGCAATCGGTGCACCCCTACTAATGTGCGCTTGAGTTTTTACTTTTACCCCCACCTCAGCACTTTATAGTTGTCTTTTTTTTACCTCAATGGTGTCTTACATCTTTGTTGGTTCATTGGCTCGTTTCTGTTTAAATTTAAACTTGTATACACGTTGCAAGTTGAAAGTTATTTTAGAAGTACAAAGTTTCTGAAATCATTGAGGAACCATCAAACATTTTCCACGTTGATAACAATGTGGAAGTGTCTTGAACTGCTCCAGCTGTGATTGAGCACAGAGAAGTTCATTGTGCCTTTGAGACCGATTGTTCACATCCTAAAATACTTTATCCTGTAACTTACATCTTGTTAACAGTAATTGGTATTTCAATGCCAATAAAATATTTTTATGTTAGTCATATAGTTTTATAGAGATGTTGCACATCAAAGCAGTGTTTGAAGTTTTCACTGTGCATGTTTGTTGGTGTAGAGGCGTTAAAGGTGACGGGGTGGAAATGCAGAGCTGGAGTTGCTGGCAGAGTGAAGCTTCACAGCAGGAATTCATCATCTGGCCAATGGAGCCGTTAGCTGTGCACATCTTCACCTTACAGAGTGATGATGTCTGTTTAAGGCCTTTGTCTGTTCGTTGATGGATTTTTGCAGCTGTGGTTACACACACTGTACGACGTTGGAGTGTTTTGTGTTTTTGTGTTGGTTTGTTTTGAACTTAAGCCTGCCCTCGTACCAACATGTCTGCCTCAGGAGTCTCCAACCTGTGGTTCTGGGGCCACATTTGGTCTCTGCAGCGGGCCCTGGAACTAATGACAGCTAACATGGAAAAGAGTTATAATTAAATAATTCTTTAAATTCATGATAGGAAAAACTGAAACTATGGAGTCGTTCTATTACCTCCAAGAATTAAAGATTATGATAAGATTTTATTTTGCATCTGCCTTTGATGACATCTGTGAATAATGAAGATTCTGGTCACACCCAGTCTGGCCTTGTTTTACCTTCACCCAATCAAAATATGTTTTAGTTCAAAATAGGATTATGTAATATTGTTTTTCTACAACTACAGAAAAAATCCACTGGATTGTGCGGTGTTCAGATTTTGTCGAGGGCGTCATCACAATAAAATACATTTTTATACATGGAGTTCTTTTCCCAACGTGTTGTGTTATTATAACGTGTTTTTAATTATTGCTCACATACAGTGGAAGTAGTTAACCACTTAAATGACAAACAAGTCCACTGCTAGCTGTTCTGTAAAAATGAGCAATGGTCATTGTTATTTGTTTTATGCTACAAGTTTTTTATTTTTTAAGAAATAGCTATTTGTACGAACAACATTAATTTTTGAATATTTGTGTATTTTCAGAGAAATTTTGGTTGAAGAAAGCAATGTCCAGAGAGTAGACTCTCCTGTCACAGTAAGTATCATGAAAGAGTTAATGGATCATCACTAAGGCGGAGCTCATGAGAGGAGGTTGAACGATGTGTGTGTTGTTGTTTTGCAGGTGTGTGGTGATATACACGGTCAGTTCTATGACCTGAAAGAGCTCTTCAGGGTAAGGTTTCTGGTCACAGCGAGCTTAATCACCGTTCTCTTTGACACCGTATATTTAAGATGACCTGTGATGGTGTGTGTGTGTTTAAATGTTGGGGCGACTGGTGAACTCTCCCAATGACGACATCATTGTATGATCAGTTCTAATTGCTGCTCGTCATGATAAAGTTCAGGCTTTATGAATGCTCCCTTCGGTTTGTGTGTTGGTTTTGCAGTTGTGTGTGAATGAGTTCAGCCAGAAGCAGTTTCCCTCTGCCGTGGCAAGGCACTCGTATCTTCTGTTCTTTGTCAACGTGTGGTGGGTGGGGGTGAAGAGTGGTTGGAAACAAACTTTTGCGTTGCGTGCTGTTTGTACCAACAGTTTTTTTTTTTTTTGGGGGGGGGGGGGGGGGTCAAGTTGAGGGAAACGGAGCTCTGTAGCCTTTTAGCTAGCACGTTTGTATTGCGCGCTGCTAGTTTGGCGCTGCGTCAGTGCCTGCAGTTGGTGGGGGGCTCGGTTCTGTTGACAGGGCGGGGCGCCCTGCTTGTATAATGGTAGGGGAAACACTGAAACATTCACCTTGTTCTGGGAAAGCTTCACTTTTCAAGTTGGAGCTAAAATATTAATACAAAGAATTCCAGAAACCAAAATCAGCTGCTGCTGTTTGAACAGAAGGACAAAGCATGGCCTGATTTTTATCTGTCATCTTGTCTAAAAATGTAAACGTTAAACCACCGGGCAGCTGAGCGTCCACCCTGTGGGCATGTTGGGGAGATCCTCCTGTAGCTGTTAGCATGGCTGAATGTCTTCACGAGTCTACGTCCTGCAGCACCCACAGACACCCGAGTCTCCTCACACAACTCTGTTCTGCTTTGCATCAGTAAGTGCAGCTCTGCTCGGTTCTTCTCAGGTGGACGGGATTTACCACTTCAGTGGAGGCTGGCCCGTTTCCCTGCTCTGTGAGTGGGATGGTAACAGGTCATTGTGTTTGAGCCACTCCACCCATTGTGGTCCTTAATGGTTCTATAATCAAACTTGAATTTCGTTAGCTTCTCTCGGCACTGCTGCCATTATCTCTGATACATCTCTTGATAAATGTGCTCAGTTCTTGTGGCGCTGTCCCTCAACACGATGAGGAAGTGGAGGTTCTGATGTAGTTTGTAGTTTTGCTGGGCGACGTAGCTCTGCTGACCAGTCAACAGCTGCTGTCTGATTACATCACAACTGGTCCCTCGGAGCAGCCCGCTTGGAACCACGAGCAAGATCCCATAAACCGGGCTGAGGGGGTGGGTACCAGCAGTGGGGCGGCCCTTAACTGGTCCCATGTCGTGCAGAGTTGAGACGGTTGCAAACTATCAGACAAACGGCAGCCATAGTCATTTTGATGGCATGTGTCCAGTTCCATTTGTAGTTGATTGTGAGTGGACGGTGCTAAAAACTGAACCGCCTAAACATTCAACGTTCTCACTCAAACCTCTTCCGGGCTCGAGCCGGACTGCTCTGCGTACGTTTGGCTCCCTGTGATCCATCCAGATCTTCTGCCAGAACCCCACACGAGCAACCCAACAGACATCTCAAGATAAAAAAAGTTGCTGGTTGATCAGAGATGATTGAACAGCGGTCTTGGGAGTTTTCTGAAGATGTTTCTTTTTGTTATTGTGTCTTTTGGTTTTAAGTTTTAATTAACTGTTTTTTTTTTATCTTTAACAATAAAACCACAAACTCACAGAATAATGAAACAATTCTTTCAATTTGAAATGCTTGACATGATAGGTGGGCGGAGATGTTCCAGAGACAAATTACCTCTTTATGGGAGACTTTGTGGACCGAGGCTTCTACAGCGTGGAGACGTTTCTGCTGCTGTTGGCTCTTAAGGTGAATCATGTTTGTGCTCGTCTGCACGGAGCTGCTTCCATGAGAACAGAACAACACGGGAGCCTCAGCTGGCTGCTCTTTATGTTCCTGTTCAGCAAATGTCATGGTCTCTGTCATACGACGTGCTTAGTGACATTTTCCTTCTTCTCAGGTCCGTTATCCAGACAGAATAACTTTGATCCGAGGAAATCACGAGTCTCGACAAATCACTCAGGTTTACGGCTTCTACGATGAATGTCTGCGCAAGTACGGCTCCGTCACAGTGTGGAGATACTGCACGGAGATATTCGACTACCTGTCCCTGTCTGCTATTATCGATGGCAAGGTGCCTGAACGTGTTTTACTCTACTGTCGTCTCTTACACATGGCCCAGAGAAATGTTTTACTACATCTTTATAAAAAATCATTTTATCACCTTAATTTATCCGTTTTGGTTTTCAGATCTTCTGCGTGCACGGTGGTTTGTCTCCGTCCATCCAGACGTTGGACCAGATCAGGACCATTGACAGAAAACAAGAAGTGCCCCACGATGGACCCATGTGTGACCTTTTGTGGTCCGACCCAGAAGGTACCTTCAGAAGTTTGTGTGAATTTGCACATTGACGCGATGGAACGCTGGGATTGGACATTCTGTTTCCTGTTTGTGTCCTCAGACACCACGGGGTGGGGCGTGAGTCCCAGAGGTGCAGGCTACTTGTTTGGGAGCGACGTGGTGGCGCAGTTCAACGCCGCCAACGACATCCACATGATCTGTCGAGCGCACCAGCTGGTGATGGAGGGCTACAAGTGGCACTTCAACGAGACGGTTCTCACCGTGTGGTCAGCCCCCAACTACTGCTACAGGTGGGTGATCTTTGACCTCAACTACCACTGTCACTTAATCTGTCCAGTAAATCGTTGTTTGATCTGAAACTACTCATTTCTACAAAAATCTATCATTTTCTTTGAAACCGTCAAGTTTGGCGTTTATGACTTACCACAAAATAAACTGTAAACAAAGATGATAGTCCAAGTATAAACCCTTAAAGATGTAACGGCAGAGCTCGTTCAAAACAACGACACTATATGAGCACACACTCACAACCATCAGAGTCACCAACACAACATGAAACTTTACATTTTTACTTTATGAAACATTTAGAAATATCAGCTTCATATGTTTTTGTTTACTAGATCTAGTTGTGTTAATGTGAAAATATAAAACAGCTTTGTTTATGACGTATTATGGAGTACTGTGACTGATGCTGCAGTTCGTCATGTGATTATCTTCATTAGCGCTACGGGATCAACAGCAGCAGGTTTGAGTGTTTCTGAAGTTATTTTAGCTGCTCTGTTACTCAGACAGCAGAAGAGAGGGTTTACCACACCCACAATAACAAAAACAATTAAATATATAAGCTGTGGGTGTCCGTGTTGTAACATGAGATATTTACACAAAGAGTTTTTAAAACTTTTAATTTAATATGTACTGGTAACGTACAAATATGTACAGTAAAAGTTTTTTTTTTCTGAACACTGTCTGTAACATGGCTGGTTAAAAAAAATGAAATGAAAGTAGCCAACCAGGAAGTCATCCATCTTCATCTTCCTCCTGCACACTGCACTCTTTACAGCTTGTGCTGAAAACAGCAGCTCCATCTAGGAATGCGCGATATACACGGTACACGGTAGAAACAATTGAAATTTAGCCTATGATAGAGATCTGTCTTCTACCGGCTAACCGCAGTAATGCTGTGTCTGAAGTAAAAATCAGAGTTGTCAGTTTAATCGTTACTTTTGTTTGTTGAAAACTGTGCAAAAGTGGCGTTAGTCTTTTCTTCGAGAGCTACGTAGCGAAGCTACAAGCTAACTACAGCCGGCTTGCCGTAGTGTTGTCGTATTCTGACGCATGCGCAATACTCTGTGTTCCATCTAAAGTTTTTTTTTTTTTTTTCATCGAAAGTTAAAAGTAAGTGTTGGTCAGCTTTAGAGAAACCTGCTCTCTGATCTGTGAAAAGAACGCTGTGTTGTGTGATTTTACTGCGAGACCCTCTGGTCAAAGCCACAGACTCATTTTGTGTCAGCTCTCCATTAAAGCAGGAGGCGGCGCCCACTAGAGGTTTGGAGGGTGAAGTGTTTCAGTTGCTGCTCTGTTGCTGTTCATTTATAAAGTGAGAAGACTGGAAACTGTTAAGAGTTAACAACATATTCTTTTGTTTAAAACATATGGCTAAAACTACATTTGATATCTTTTGCACTGTTTTGCACTACAAGAAAGAAGCCTAATACTTGATTTGTTTATTATTTAAAAACTCTCTGGACCTAGTAGTGGAATTTTCTTAATTCAAAATATATGATGGCAAAAGGACACCCTATGCTTTTTTTTTTTAGCAAGTTTTATACCCAAAACATATCGAGATATCTATAGTCATCGCCACCCTTCACAATACATATCGTGATATGAATTTTATGCCATATCGCACATTCCTAGCTCCATCACACAGCTCCTTTTGAAACCCGTTACTGGCACAGGAGTCTCTGCTGTTGGATCCACTGGCAGACTGGAGCAGAAGTTGCTTTGCGCATGCAGCCAGTTTGGTAAACAATTCTCTCCACTAGTCATCCCAGTCTCCCACCGAGCTCTGAGTGTCACTGTAAATGCACAATTCACATTTATTTCAAGTGGCTGCAAATACTTGGTTGTGCTCCAAGGGGGGACAAGAGAAATGGTGGGGAGAGAAACTAAGCCCCCCCCCTCCTCTCCTTTTCACTGGTCCACTGTGACCTGTTCCACACTTTCATTGGTCAGATTTAATTTTTTAACCTTTATACAGGTAGTCTCATTGAGTCATGAGGACCCACCCCCCAAGACAGATGTGTACTGGGCACCTATGTGAGGGTCCAGGTGTGATGAGGCTAAATGTTTAGCGGCATGAAACTCGTTAGCTCGTCAAAAAAAAAATCCATAAATCATCTGCAGCGTTGTGTTCAAAGGCTGTGAGAAAAGCAGCAGCTTGGTCCATAAATCACAGCATGTTCTTTTTACCATGCTTTGTATTAAACTCCAGTGGCTTGGTTTAAAGCTGCCAGCGATCTTTGGACATGGCCCTCAACGTACAAAAGTAAAAGTACCGTTAATCTGTTGACGTGTCAACAGAACAAGGTAACTAGAGAAGTTACTTTGTTCAAAATCTACTTGGACAAAATAGTAAGTCATTAAAAATTCACTCCAAGTAAAAGCAGGAGGACGTCTCTCCTGCTGCACAAAGGACTTAGTTTATAAATATGAAATTATAAACACCTCATATGCAAAGACGTAATAAAACGCGTCAACGTGTGATGTTTGGAAGACTTCCTCTAATATGTTCTGAAATGATGGAGAAAAGAAAATGAACTTTGTCGTGATATTCAGTTGTTGTCGATGCACCTGTAGAAGAACAGAGTAGTTTCTTTTTCTTCTCCAGAGTGACAGATCCTGGAGAGTAGAGGGAGTCAAGTGACAGATCCTGGAGAGTAGAGGGAGTCAAGTGACAGATCCTGGAGAGTAGAGGGAGCCATTTTATCTTCCACCAGGTGCAGTGGTGGAGCCAGGGGGTGGCCAGTGGTGGCTTTGGTCCCCCACCAACTAATCTTCAGACACCCCAATCATTTAAGGAAATTATATTTTAAGCACACGCACATTAAAAAAGAAGAATATATATATTTATATTATATTATTTATTAAACATCTTTAAATATTATGAATATTTATTTATTTTTTTCAGGTCATGTTTGTAAATGAGAACTGTTTCTCAAACTTTTCACTTGGTAAGATGATGGTTTAATAAACATATGGGGGCCATCTTGGATTTTGAAGTGAACACTATTTTCAGTGGAGATCTTTATGTCTGGATGCAGCCACGCACCAACATGGAAGTTGATACTTCACCTATTCTTCAAGTTATCAGAGGAGGACATTTAAGTCTTCACTCTGTTACGGGGAAAAGCACAAAGCAGTAGAAACCTCAAATGAACGTCCTTACTGTGTCTGCTGTGGTCCAGTTTTTCAGAACCACGGAGGTTTCTTGAAGCCTGGTTAGATCACGGTGGTGACACAGACTGAGCTCACCTCCTGCTGCTCCAGAGCAGAAGAGCTAGGTTCATTCTCAACTAGGCCTGTCACGATAACAAATGTTCCTGGGCGATTGTCTCAAAAATTATTGCGATAACAATATTGTTTGAAATTTGACAATAACTAGTAATTATTATAATAACTAGTGATTATTGTCAAATTTAAGAAGAAACGTTTGTTCATGTTTTGTGTGTAGAATGTTTTTTTATGACCACCGGATGGCAGTATAAAACTGTTTGAACTGAAGGATGGATAGTGAGCAGCGTGTTTCTTTAAGAAAAATGGGAGTGAGGCCCCTTGACATGACATGGGCTGTATCTCTTTGGTTCTCTAAATGGTGGACGCTCGGTGTGGTTTGAGCTCTTTAGCATAACATTTTTCACACAAACCTTTTAATAAAAAATCAGTAAACAAGTTCGCAGCTTCTTTTTGCAGAGAATAACTTTTTACATGAAGGAACGGGTTTCATCTGTGAATTTTGGAGCTTCGACAAGACAAAGGTTTGTTCCTGAGGTCGGTCTGTTAGCTTAGCTCGTAGCTTAGCTTCTCAGCTTAGCTGCTTTTAATGATCCAAAAATGCGATTTTTGGACGGTTATAACAGATTTTAAAGAGAAAGGGAGGGGTCAGTGAAGAGCACCGGAGTTGAGCTTTTTGTCATCTAGTGTCTTCAGTAGAAAGAGAGACACGAGGAAACGATGAAGCCGATAAATGAAAATGAGGTTAATAATTTTCATTTATCATGCGATTGATTTATTGTTTATTGGGACAGGCATAATCACAGCTGAAACCATCAATCAGAGGCTCCGTCTGTTTTTATCTTGACTACAACGATCTGACTGAAGCAGCATTTTTCCATGGTTCTACCTGCTGCTGTAAGATTTGAACAGTCATAAATTGTTTGAAATTTCAAATTGATCAGTAAAAATGATCCTGTGTTCAGGGGCCGCCTATTATCCACCTGACAAGGGTCTTGCTCTTCTATCAACTTTAATGCAGCTCGAACCACAACGTGCACACCCACAAGTGTTATCGCAAAACAACCGGCTCGGCACGTGATGTGCTGTCAGTTTTGTTGGCTATTTGAGTTGCCATGGCAACATACTGTAATTTACAAACAAAGGTGCCATTTTTTTGCATTGAAAAACACTGAAGGAGCTCTTAGCTTCTAACTACCTCAGTGATGTCACATGAACAAAACACTGATTAACCTTTGGAGCCATTTTGATTCAAGATGGCTGCCACAGCTACTTCAGCAAACACAACATTGACTATAACTCAGTCATTCTTTGAGACATTGAGCTGAAATTTAGTATAGTTGTAGCTGAGAGAGAGTTCTTATACATTCCTGATGCAAATTAAAAATCCAAGATGGCTGCCTTGGCTAAAAGAGAAAAAATATAACTATCTTTAAAGATATTGAGCTGAAATGTGGTGTGGTGGTACCTGACAGCGAAGCACAACACCCTGGATTCAAATCTAAAAATTCAAGATGGCCACCAAAGTTAATTTAAAATGGAAAGTTTTTTTTAAGAGGTATTGGCTGAAAGTTGGTGTTGATAGGTGAGAAATATCCCTAATAGATGGATGGGGGGGGGGGGGGGGGG